AATTGTATTTAAATTTGACTTTAAAGATTGGCAATTATATTGGAATACTAGCTTTTGCCCGCGACTTCGTATGCGTGGAATTTAGAATCTATAGATAATATTTTTAATTTTACGGAGACAGTTGAGAATCAAATACTAATAAAAAAGACTGGGATGGATAGGTAAAAACGTTTATTGTTATCCAAAACGAAACAATAAAAACTAAAGAATTTCTTTATATACAACATTTGATGTTCTACCCATATTAGCCATTATAAACAAATTGTCCGAGCTAGTTACGCGTGAGCAAGCAACATATAGTTGTCCGTGTGAGAAACAGTTCGTTCTGAGATCGACACCGGCGGCTCGAAGTGTCTGACCTTGCGACTTGTTGATGGTCATAGCGAAACATACGCTCACGGGAAACTGCACACGTTTAAATTGGAATGGGAAATTGTTTGGAATTAGGGGTATGCGTGGTATGAAAACTACTTCACCAGCTCCACAGCCCGTAAGAATTTCTGCTTCTATAATATTATTTCGAAGCGACATCACTTTAAGGCGGGTTCCATTGCATAACTTTGGAGGGGTTAAGTTCCGAAGCAACATAATCGGAATACCTACTTTCAGGACGATGTTATGCGCAGGGAGTCCGGGGGCAGAAAGAGAATTAAGAAACTCTACTGGATATGTGGTAGCATCGGTTCGGTCCAAAACTATGTTTATTGACCGGTATATCACCTCGTCTCCTTCAACTTTTTCCAAAATGCTGTGATTTATGGCAGCTGCTTGGTCATTTTTGGGCGTAAGTATTGCTCGCTCGCAAAGCCAAGAATTGTTGTCCTTATGCGTTATTTGAGATACATCTCCATAAACTGAATAAATTAGTTCCTCCACCGAAGGTACAATCTTACAAAGATTCTCTGGTAGGGTTACTAATCCATTCGATTCGGGAAATGAACCTTCGCCGATTTTTAGCAAAGCATCTGAAAATTCTTGCGCACGGGGGTTGCCGCCTAAGTGTGCTCTCATGTTGCGCGTCAGACTCAATTTCTGCACCCGTGGCCAGAGTACGGAGCATTTGAGGCATGCGTTCACCTCATCAGCTCTGGTTCCGCGGGTTATAACGGGTAGAGTCTGACGGAAATCCCCACAAAACAAAACAGTTATTCTTCCCATGATGTGATCGTTTCGTCGGATGTCTTGGAGAGTGCGATTGACTGCTTCCACGGCCTTCTTGTGCGCCATCGTACACTCATCCCAAACGATTAGGCTGCACTCTGCAAGAATCTTCGCCTTTTCACTATTTCGCGATACGGCACAAACTGGGGTTTCATTTATATCGAGGTTCAAGGGTATCTTAAACATAGTGTGGGCAGTTTTGCCTCCAGGGAGTAAAGTGGCAGCAATACCCGATGAGGCGACAGCTAGTGCTATCTTCCCTTGTCGTCTCACTTCAGCTAGTAGTAGTCGAGTCAAAAAGGTTTTGCCTGTACCACCAGGGGCGTCCAAAAAAAAAATGTTTCGCCATCCTGTTTATTGACACTTGTTAATATTTTGTTATATACAGACTTTTGTTCATCGGTAAGGGTCCCAGAATTATTGTTTACAATTTCGGTCATCGCAGAATAACTGTAATTTGTCTCCGCTGCATACTCTCTACTAACTCGCTGAGCTTCCGTGGTTTCCTGCGGCTCTGGAAGACCGTAATGACTCAAAGGATTGCCACTTATTGAAATAACAATGTCTTGAAGCGACGAAAGACAACGATTAATAACACGCTCATCAGAACCTGCAATACTATCTCCATCAGCTCGCCTAGCCGCGAAGAGAAAGTCTTCTAACAGATGCCGCTGATATTTCTCCCATAGCTGTACAGGATGGGAAAGTCCGCAGAACACTATCATAACTGCAAACAAATGCCGCAGTCGACTGGGAGTTTCACTGACAACGGCCTCTTCAAGAGTTTCAAACCAATTTCGGTCGTCATCTAGCAGACACAGTGCACAGCAAGCTCCGTGAAAGGTAGAATGTTCAACGCCATTGACAGTCTTCAAATATTTATATGAAGTGGCTCCCCTGACTGTGTGCAACAAAAGTCGCAAGTAATAGCACTCACTATTACTTGGATGCACCGTATACACTCGTCCTATTGCGTTCTCGCGATGGACATCTGGAAACCCCTCCACAGGCTGACCGCGTCGGCGTCTATTAAATACTCCTCTTTGTTTATTGTATGTGTAGTAGGACGGTATTTCATTGTACAGGAGCGTTTGTGCAAAACTATCTTGTTGACACAGATTGAAATACGCCAAGAGTGTGGTAGAGGGAGGATTTTCTAGACGTTCCCTTACATTTTCAGGATTAAAATACACCCGCTGCCCGTTTTCCAAATGGACATCTAAATGCATTACAGGAGGATGTCGTTCGTGGATGGAAAAGCCAAGTATTCGCCACACTGCTTCCGAAGTACTTATATAGCGACCTGATTGATATTTGGTCACCTCGTCACGATCACTGCTCTGTAAACCAAATGTCGCTTGGTCGCTTCCCTTATTTACGTACTTGCAGATATACTTTATCGATTCCACGCTAGCGCAGTATTCTACATTCAGATGAGTTTGAAATGCTCGAGAAAGTACTGGCGAATAAGGCACTACCCACCGATTGTCAACTGAAACGTATTGTCCGCGCATATTTACTTCGGCAGTGAAACCGCCATTTTGAGGTGCTCGGCGGCGGTAAGATGGGTATCCATTTTCACCAGTAACAGTTTCGTTTACGAACTTTTTCGGAAACCTCTTCGTACAAAGGCCTTCCTTCATGCAAGGTGAGTTTGTATTGAATGAGCCACATGGGCCATGAATCATGTTGGTTTTGACAATGTTGTGTAGAATGGGATCGGTGTCTGGGTTCGGGATTTCCGCACTAATAACTCGATCAATTTCGTTCGGCCTAATCTTCTCTTCGAGCCATAAAAGGATGTGCGAATGAGGCAACCCACGCTTTTGCCATTCGATTGAAAACATA